ATTGAAATGACCATCCTCAGCAAAACACAAGGTACTAAGCATCTCAGCGAGACCCTGTGTCTAAATAAAATACAAAATAGGGCTGCTGAGGAAATGGATGGCACTGGGCTGGCTGTTACCATCAGCAAATTCTCTGTAGAGCAGCTATGAGTCTCCTTTCATCCTTGCCTTTGCTATTTTTAATCTCAGGCCTTCTTGCTTTTATCAAGAAAACAAGTCAAAACCCATTCTGGGCTACATTGAAAAAATGTATGTCATCTATCTTGGTATTTGGTAGGAAGAATAGAGACAGTTATGGTTTAGATATGAGTTGTTCTCTGAAAGCTCAACCCAAGAGCTTTGTATGAGACAACACAAGAAAGTTCAGAGGTGAAGTTACTGGTTTATGAAAGCCCTCACCTATCACTGCATTAATCCACTTGAATGGATTAACTGGGTGGTAACTATAGAGGGTAGGGCATGGCAGGAGGAGGTAGTTCACTGGGATGTGCCTTTGGTATGTATTTTGTCTCTAATGAGTTGAGCACTTCCACTTACCTCCCTCCTTCCCTCTCCCTCCTTTCTAGTGGACATATTCTGAACAACTTTTCTCCATCATGTCCTTCTTTTTTTAAAATACACACACACACACACACACATTTTTTTAAGTTGTTGATAGATCTTTATTTATTTATATGTGGTGCTGAGAATCAAACCCAGTGCCTCACACATGCCAGGCAAGTGTGCTACCGTTGAGCCACAATCCCAGGCCTCCATCATGCCCTTCTGCTTCATCTTGGGCCCAGAGATATGGAGTCAAGCATCTATGGACTGAGACCTCTGAAACCATGAGCCCCAAACAAACTTTTCATCCTCTAAAATTGTTCTTGTCAGGTTTTTTGGTCACAGCAACAGTAAAATTGAAAAACAGAGACCCTCTTGAGAAAGAAAATAAAAATGAATCAAAAGAAATGATTTGAGGGCTGGATTGTGGCTCAGTGGTAGAGCGCTTGCCTAGCATGTGTGAGGCGCTGGGTTTGATTCTCAGCACCACATATAAATATAAAATGAAGATCCATTGACAACTAAACAATATTTAAAAAAAGAAGAGGAAGAAATTATTTGGGGCTGGGATGTATATTAGTGGTAGAGCATATGCTCAGCATGCGTGAAGTTGTAAGTTCAATCTCCAGCATGTCCATGAGCAAGCATATCTGAACACACACACACACACACACACACACACAGAGAGAGAGAGAGAGAGAGAGAGAGAGAGAGAGAAACAATTAACTTTAATTCACTTGTACTAGGAAAGCTATGCAGTTACCTGCCCATCCCTAAGCCAAGACCTATCCTCATGTCTTTTTGGGGGGGGGGGCGGTGAAAGGGGTCCATATTCTCCTCCCTCTCCTCCCTCCACCCTCCTCCTCTTCTTCTTCTTCCTCCTCCTCCTTCTTTTTGGTACCAGGGATTGAAACCAAGGGTACTTTATCCCTGAGCCACATCCCCAACCCTTTTTATTTTTTATTTTGAGACAGAGTCTTTTATAAGTTGCTTAGGTTCTTGCTAATTTGCTGAGGCTGGCCTTGAACTTGGGATCCTCCTGCCTCAGCTTCCCAAGTCACTGGGATTACAAGCATGCCGCACTGCACCAGCCCCATCCTTCATCTTAAAGTATTCATCAGCTCGATACTTAATTTACTGTTCTAGTTCACTGCCTTATATTCATCATTATCACTGCTGTTGTTCTCATTTAAAGCAACATGTATAAAGATGAGGCCACCTCATCTTTGGGGTAAAGAGGAATTACTCTGCATATCAAGTTTATCAATCTGGCAAGAGTCTTGACCTCTTGGCCCTTCCAGTTGTGTGGATTTTAAATGCAGTTATAAAACATCTTAGCTAAATTGGTCCATGGTATATTTTACAAAATTCTTATTTTACTTACTCAGGCACTTCTAGAAAAGCTGAAGATGTAATTTCTTTTGAATGAATATAAGGTGGTTCTAGCTCCAAAATTTGAGTATACCGAGTCAGGGGATCATGATGGGTAATGATGCAGTCACTGCACATGTAGCTACATAAAATTTGAGCTTGGGGAAAGAAGGATGCCCACCACAGGAGCCTCATTGTTAAATACTTTGGCACACATTGTTGGGAAATATAATCAAGTCATTCTTCTGGAAGTTTCCAGGGATATGCCTCTTTTCATTGTAAATTTTTAGCATTTCTATTAATTTCCTACATTTTCCATTGTTTTTCAACATTCTTCTCCCACTTATGAACAACCACAACAAAAATTCATTCAAGTTATTATTTGTTACTAGCTCACTTCATTCTTCTAAGTGAAATGCTGCAAATGTAGAATTAAATATTCCCTTACTATCTATAATTCTCTGCATTCCCATTTACAGTGCCTGGTACAGAGTAAGTGCTCATTAAATGTTGCTTAGTTTCCCCCCATGACATTGACCAGCTTGATTTTTGCTGGCATAAAGCAATAAGGTAGAAAAGAATGATGTCACTATTTATGTAGCCAGTCAATACAATGCCCCTAGAATACATGTATCCAGCTAACCCCTCTGTGGAGATGGGGATATGTTGATGCAGTTCCTCACACGTTGGTGCTTATGTTGACCCAGGGAGCTGTGTACTTTCCATATATTGTTTAGTGCATCTCAGCCTAATTCTGTATCTGTATAATGGGTCAATGTATGTCCATGAACTAGCTGAGAGTTTATCTTAATACATCCACTTAGATGACTAATGGACACCTGCGGCGGTATGCCAGCACATTCAGTGGGTACTACCAGTGAGGACCTAAACCAGAATCCAAATAGAGACTACAGACATATTAGTGAAGGACACCGAATGACCCAGAATGGCCCAGGGAGAGAGAATGGTCCTGCAAATTGATAGCAAAGAGGTCACAACTGACTCTGCCTAGGGGAAAAAAAAAAAAAAAAAAAAACAGCACAAAGAAGGGGAAACTATAAGGTTGATAGCAGGGACCAGTGGGGAAGACAAACAGGGGTGGCAGAGAGCACTGGAAGCCTGGGCTTGGGCCAGCCAGCCTGGGAAACTGCTGCTCCAGATGCCATTATTGATAGTGCTCCTTGTGGGTCTTCAACTGTTAAGAAGGCCTCTGCTCCAATCACCACTCTATGGTGCCATTGTGAGCAAGGAGATTAAGCAGACTGTTACTAGTCTGTGTCTTGGGGACTACCAGGAAGGCTGAGAAGATGATGGATATGAGCTCATGGCAGAGGGTCAGCCGTGATGGGATGGACATAGGGCTGAAGAATTGGGTGAATACCACCCGGCATAACCCTATATTTTAGGTCAGTCTCTTTTTTTAAATTTGTTGTTATTGTAGATGGACACAATACCTTTTTATTTATTTATTTATTTTTATATGGTGTTGAGGATCAAACACAGGGCCTCACACGTGCCAGGCAAACACTTTACCACTGAGCCACAACTTAACCCAGGTCAATCCTTTTTTTAAGCTTGAAAATTAGCAATTATTATTATTATTATTTTATATAATGTGAATACAGATTTTACCTAAAAACTGACTATTCTTAAAATTCGTATTTGCATTTTACACCATCTTTCTGGGGCCATTTTCTTTCCTTCCAAATACACATCCTTTGTATGTTCCCTTAATGTTGTCCTTTTGAGAATGAACTCTTGATGTTTGCTTTTTATGAGAATGTCTTTACTTCGTCCTTGTTTTCGAAAAATAATTTTGCTGGGTACAAATTTCTTGTGGCAGTTACAATTTCATCATTTTGAAGTTACTACTCAACTGATATTCTTTTGCTTTTATTGTTGTTTTGGAGAATTTCCCTTTAGTAGACTAAAGGGTTTACATGTGTTAACTCTCTTAGCCATCAGGACCTTCCCACTTTACAGATGAGGAAATCGAGCCACAGAAAAGTTGGGTGTCTTGTCTTGGGTCCCACAGCTTGCAGTATGGCTTTTTTCCATTATCATGACTGCAAAAGGAAGCAGAAAAGTGCGGGCCCTTCCCACATTTGGCAGAGGAAGTGCCATCTATGCAGGAACTGGCTGCAGACTCCCGACGGCCCCATGAAAGCCCTGGGCTAGCCTTTTTGATGCACAATGAGGTGCAGCCAGGCTTGACAGTGGGTCTGGGGTTCTCTGAGCTTTTTCCTGATGGTAAAAAGAAAACTCAAATTCTTACTCAAAAGTCGAGAGTGCCCTTGATGGCACCTGTGCTGACAGCCTAGAAAAATCAATGCCACAGTTGCTGTAGGTGGGTGACACCAGCGGTTTTGTTGCCTTTTCAGCGTGACTGGGAAACTCTGAGAATAGACTGGAGACCCCACCTTTGGCTTAACCCAACAGAGGCATGAAATTGAAGGAAACCTGTGAATAAACAGCTGTCAATATCTGGAGCCTCTAAGTGACAACCAAGTGGGGACCGATAACAGACAACTGTCCTAAGGAGAAGCAGATCTGCTCTGTAGGAGACTCCCAGCCCTCATCAGGGAGGATGCACTCTCCACTGGGAAGCTACTTCCTTAAAAATAAGCATAGTGTTTATGCACAGTGCTTTCCTGTGCAGGTCACGATGCGTGAACAAAGCTGCCCATACAAAAGTGTTCAGCACACTTACCTCTTTGCGTCCCCAAAAACAGCCCTGCAATATCAGCATGATTATTCCCCCATTTATGACTGAGGAAACTGAGGCTGAGAGAATGACTTCCCAACAGTCCCATAGACAACAGAGATGGGGACAATCGGAATCCATCTTGGTTTAGCCTTTCTTGTCCCTAGGAGTGTCCCTTCAGCCTCCTTTCTTACCACTGAGGTGGGAAGAGCATCTGCAGGTAGGCATTTCCCAATCAGGGACCAAAGACAAACCATTCTCCCAGGGGCACAGGTTTGTTTGTCTCCTCCTGTGAGGCTCTGGTTACCAAGGGGCCTGCAAGCTGGGGTTTCTCAGCAGTCACAGAAGGAGTCATCTGGGCCTGGTGGGGGAGGGGTGTTACCTTCACTGCTTCCCAGCTGGAATTCACCAGGTGCTGCCGGAAGGGCCCAAAACCTGAAACCAAAGATACCCAGGTTTTCTCAAGCAAGACCACGCCCACATAAGATTCTCTTTCTGCTCCCCAGGTCATTGTGGGTCCTGGACAACTCCAACAACCTTTCGTGCAAGGCACAGTGAGGAGTCGAAAAGGAAGGTGGGACCTATTCACTGCCAGGCTGGGGGTGGGGGTATGGTTGAGTACATATGTGCACAAATGTCTAATAGAAAAGTAGGCTTTGTAGAGAACACAGTATTGGACCCACATAAATGTGCCCAATTGTTTAGTTACAAAGGTGCAAAAGAAATTCAGTGGAGAAGGACAACCATTTCAACAAATGGTACTGGATCGACTGGACATAAAACACTGAGCCCCTCAACCTAAACCTTAAACCTCATGCACAAATGAATTCAAAATGGTTATGGACTTAAATGTAAGAGGTAAAACTATACAAACATTTAGGGGGAAAAAGAAGGGAAAAAAATCTTGGGACCTTAGGCTAGGCAAAGAGTTCTTAGAATCAAAACAACAACAAAAAAGCCAGGTGTGGTGATGCACACTTGTAATCCCAGCGGCTTGAGAGGCTGAGGCAAGAGGATCGCGAGTTCAAAGCCCTCCTCAGCAATTTAGAGAGGCCCTAAGCAACTCAGCAAAACCCTGTCTCTAAATAAAATACAAAATAGGGCTGGGGATGTGGCTCACTGGTCGGGTGCCCAAGTTCAATCCCTGGTACCCTCCCTCTACAAAAAAAGTGTAAAACTTTTAGATCTGGAGGTAGAGTTTAGTGGTAGAGTGTGTGTTTAGAATGCACAAGGCCTCTAGTTCAATCCCTAGCACTAGAAAGATAGATGGAGGGGGAGGAGGAGGAGACCTCTGACTTTGACTGAATTCTATAGGATAAATATGATTAACTCCCAGGGCAATAGTCAGCAAATAAAGAACGGTAATAGGAAATATTGAGAATAAGGGGAAAAAACCCTAGGTACCTCCTAGGATAGATAATAAAAATGCCGCAGCACACAGAACTAGCACATTCTGTTTTAGAATCATATTCAAATCAGCAAAAATTACATCTCTTTTTTTTTTTTTGAAATTAGGAAAACAAATCAATAAGTGAAGCTTTGAAGCTTTTGCTTTGCTGGGTCGGATCTCACTGTCAACCTGCCAGCTCTGGAGGGGAACTTGCAAAAAAGAGCTGGAGAAATCTAGGGGAATGAGAGAGGCCCTCTGGAGGCAGGTTTCCTCTGCCTTTCATTGCTATCATTTGGTGCCAATCAGAAAGAACACCTTGATCTTGACACCATTTGTCAGAGCCCTGGTTTTCCCATCATCTGTCTATGTGCCAATTGTCTTGGTGAGATTTACACATTAAGCAAATCCAATTATATAAAGAGGCTGCCCTGGGCAGCTCAGAACATTTCTAATAAAGGAGGTCATACTCTGGAACCTGGTGGACATCCTCAGATTGTGGCTGATTATCAAGTACATCATCAACAATCTAGAGTCTGCTGGCAAACCACAGGCTGACAACATAAAGGAAAGCGTGGGTGTGATTCTAAGAGGGGCAATGGTGCTTCAATATCCATATTTCATTTGAGACAACCACTGCATTGACTAGGAGTACAGTTTCCTTAGGAATTCAGACGTAATTTGAATCATTCAATTTCTAGACTCAAAATGAGAACGAGGGAGATAAAAGGGTTTCAAAAGAATTTTCTTTTTAGAAGGTTGATAGAAGTTTGAATTGCAATCTGAAAATATTAAGATGGGTAACTTCAATTAAGATGGGTGACTTTCATGCATATAGGAATCTTCATCTGTTGAATGCTTCCTTCATCCAACAGTATTAAAAAAAAAAAACATAAATTGTGCTAAATGTGTCTAACTAAAAATAAAGAACTTTGGTGACTAACTAAAAATAAATAAAGAGCTTTGTGAGGAAAGTTCAAGCCCCCAGGGACCAGCTGTGAGGCACAGTGGTGGTAGTGGGTGGCTTTAGATTTGCTTGTGAAATGCAGGAGCAAACAGCTATCATTCCTTCCAAGTTGACCTTTTGAGGTTCAGAGGCATCCACTCGTGACAGGGGTGGGGATGGGGCTTCAGGGTTCCCATAGTAAGAAACTCATTCTGTATGTGGAACCGTGTGCTCCTTTCTCTTTTGGGGGTTGGAGCGGGAAGTGCAGGGGAGGGGTCACCACAGAGGTACTGTGAGAGCCTGGTGAGGGTCCTGATCTTTTTGAGCCAGTATGTCCCTCTTCCTTGTTATGAAAGTGCTCTCCTAAGGATACCACTTATGTCCAGCCAGCGGGTCCCAGACTCAGGGACAGCGGGTGCAAGCCTCAGCTTCCTCCCTGAGGAACTGAAAGACAGGAAAGGTTTGAGCCTAAGCCACACGTGGGCACCTTCGTGCATGCCCCTGGAGTTATTTGCAGCGAATGAGCCACAGAAGCAGGGAAGCTTGTTTTTTAATAGGACATAGCAGGAAGTAAGCCTCCATCTGGAATTTTTAGCACCACCAGTTGCCACTCTTTTTTCCCCTCAGGGAACTGTTTACGACCAGGATCAAGCAAGTGCGCATTCCAGGTGCAGGCTAAAAGCAGCAGCAAATGGGAATGCACAAAAATATAGCTTTACCGGTCACCACCACACAGCTGGATTGAGAATCCATTAAGCCCAAGTGGGGAGCCCGCGCAATTAGCAGGGGCCCGGGTGCAGCGGTGTGGCGCTGAGCTATCGCTGTGAGCCAAGCCGGGCGTCCTCCTCTCCGCCCGCTGCAGGCCACCCTGCAGCTCCAGAGTGCCTGTGCCCGGCCTCTCTGCCGCCGCGTTACCGGCCCGAAAGGCCAAGGACGAAGCGGGTGGCGGTGGTGGTGGTAAGGTGATGCCCCTTGAAAGCACAAATAGCAGCTCAGAACTCAGGAGCTGCCAGAGACAAACCAGTAGAGGGTTGGAGTGCCATCAGGCGCTTTCTGGACTCTCGGCCTGGGTCATGCGCCACGGTGCAGTGATCATTTGTCCTGGTTTCCCAGATCGAGGATTTAGGACCAGGACTAAAATATTCTCAAAGCAGCGGACCGTGGGTACCCTATGTTTATACCATGATTTTTCCTCGTTAGCAATGCTCCCTCTCCCTTGCCTGAACTCGTCATTGTAATTTGGCTATTATAATTCGGTGAGATTTAGTTGCTTTCAAAAGGGATTCTGCCAACTACTTTTTTTTAAAAAAAAAGAAGAAAAGAAAAAAGAATGCCCCCAGCATCCCCCTCCCCGCCCCGCACAGTACACACAGATATGAAGCTATGACCCCACCTTTGAAAAAATAATTTGTTTTAGTTGTAGATGAACACAATACCCTTTGTTTTTTTATTTGCTTATTTTAAGTGCTGCTGAGGATCAAACTCAGTGCCTCACACGTGCTAGGCAAGCTCTCTACCGCTGAGCTACAGCCCCAGCCTTATGACACCCACCTTTGAAGTGTTGGTTGCAAACACCTGCTGTTTAGGAACTGTGGGCAAGCTCACCCTTTATCTTTTCCTGTTCTGTGAACTTGGGAGTCTTACTGTGTTCTGGGCAGTGTCTCTGCTCCTGGGCTCTAAAGGGCAGGTGCTCACCAGCTGGTTGTCACTATTGGTTCCAGTCTGTGAGCTCAGCACCCCTCCTTCTGCTTGCAAAAAATGGCCTATGCCATGCTCCATTCCCTAAATGTGCCGTTGAATGTGAGAGCAGCCCTGGCATCTTCCCTAGTACAGTAGGCATTCCTCTTTTTAACTGTGTCAGAGTAACCAAAAAAGCTAACATTTGGGGTTATTTCTATAACTGAAGATGCCATGTTATGCAACATCTTGACCTTTCCGAAAATACTATTAAAATACCCCCCCCTTTACTAAAAACACTGTTTCAAAAGCTGTGTAATAAAAGGAACAAAAAACAATTCTCTTTTCCTATGTGGGCAACACCATGAGAATCTCATTCAGGGAATGAGCTCAAGCACTGTGCTGCTTCTGGAAAGTTCAGTGTATTGTGTGCAAGACAAAGCAATCATGCAGTTCCAACTACTTAATTGGTCCCCTGATTTAAAAAAAATGCACCCCCTTAGTTGGGCTCACTGATAAGGACTGGACCCCAGCTGATGCCCTCCTGGGATTCTGAAGCCTCTGGAGGGGGCTGCAAGCTATTTGACTGCTGAGAGCAGGTGGGAAGTGCCATTTGCCTTCACTGACCTGCCACCACTTACCCTTGGAAGCTGAGGTCAACCCTGTTTTGTGAGAGATGCAAAGAGCTTTGGACTGCACTTTATTTTGAAGTTAAAGTGGGCAATGAGAAAATTCAAGCTTGAAAGCAGTTAGCTAGTTTCTCACATTCCCTTGGGCATTTGTAGATTTTTGTGTCAACTCCCTCAGGTTAGCATCTTTGATTTGTGGCACCTAACCTAGTTCTTCTATCAGAAGGGTTTTGGGTCCCTTTCACAGTTAAGGGAGGAAGTTGGGAAGTCATAAAATGCCCACATTTGTAAAGTTGGTTGGTTCTAGGGTCAAACTCCAAAATCAACACTAACTAATAAGGTCCAGGAATCATAACTTAAGTTTACTGATGTTAACTTATTATGCTTAGAGAAAGCAGACTCCTTGACTGTGATGACTGCTAGTTTTGTTGTTGCTGTTGTTCGTTTGTTTGGGGTACTAGGGATTGAACCCAGGGGCAATTTACCACTGAACTACGTCCCCAACCGTCTTTATTTTTTATTTTGAGACAGGGTCTCACTGAGTTAGTGAGGCTGGTCTCAAATTCACGTTCCTCCTGCTTCAAACTCCAGTTTAGAACCATACTGCTTTTTTTGGATAGTGAAGTTGCAGTTATTTTAATATTGTTGCTGTTAATGTTATTATTTTTTTGAGACTGGGTCTCAATATGTTCCCCATGCTGAACTCCCCACCTGAGCTCCTGCCATCCTCCTGCCTCAACCTCCTGAGTAGCTGGGGCTACAAGGACATGCCACATAGCCTGACAGTTATTATCAGATTTTGGGTGGGGGGTGGGGGGTGAAGGATCTGACATGAACCATTCTTATTTTAACTTAAACTGGAATGTGTCCTGCAGTTTTTATGTTCCTGTAATTTTAAAAATTTTCTTCTGCCCTAAAAGTTTTCTCTAATCTGGTAATGAATTTTTTTTAAAAAGAGACAAAATATTTTTACTTAGTCCCAATGACATGTCTACTGTTGTATTCATCTCCATTAAAAAAAAAAAAAGAAAAGCACATTCCCACTCTCTAAATGAAAACATCTCAGAGAAGTATGGATTTTGAGGTCTGCCATCTGTAGTTTTATTTCTTTTTTCCATTGTAAAAACAAATGGTCTCTAACAATTGCTGATGTCAAACACAATCTTTAGGCTGGTGAAATACAGTAAGCCTGAGAACGGAGAAGGCAACTAAAGGGAGACGTTTTATTTAACGGAAAGCACAAAGATCTTCCTTACAATATAGATTCCCAAGAGGAAAATATTTGTAATCATATTTGACTCCGGGATTAAGAGGGCAAGGTGTGACCCCCAGAATGAACCGGAAAGCAGGCAGCAGTCCACATGTGTTCTCACCAGGGACAGCAAATGTGGGCTGCCAAGATTATAAGATCCCAAGACCCCAAATAGTTCACGTTTTGAACTAAGCATAAAATTTTGGGGGATTTGTTTTAGATTTCTTATTGGCAAGTGGTGACTTCCTGCTTAAGCAAGAAAAAGGAGTAAAAGGGTTTGCTTGTTGTCTCTGACACAAACAGCTCTTAGAACAATGCATTTTATACCGTTGACATCAGTGAAATTTAATCAAACTGGTCAAATTCCTTTGGGAGGTTGGGGAAAAGAAATCAATCATCAAGAAGCACTTGTGATTTCAAACATAATGATAATATAATATAAGCACTCCTCTGTGTCAGGCATCTCTGCTTCCAGATCAGCTACTTGTCTCTGCTGTCAAACATACAACCTGTAGCCAAATTGCTACTTGTCAAAGCAGGAACTGATTCTCCAAAAATGTCACTCTACCAAAGTATTATTTGAGAGTCACCCTCCCCTGTACTTTTACATCTTCTGCTTCCTACTCCAGCAGGGCCCAGCCAGCACATAGTTTCTGTAAAGGGACAGATAATACATATTTTAGGCTTTGTGGACCACATGGCCTCTGGTGCCACTCTTCAGTTCTGCTGTTGTAGTGTGGGCAACCAACCATAGGTGAGAATGTAAACCAGCCGGCCTGGCTGTGCTCCAATAATTATTTATGGATGCTGAATTTTTGAATTTTATATAATATCAACATGAAATGAAGTATTCTTCTTTTGATTTTTTTTTTCAATGATTGACAGGTGTAGGAACTATTTTTGACTCTCAGGCTTACAAAAATGGTCGGGGCTGGATTGGATCTGTGAGCTGTAGTTTGCAAAATCCTGTACTAGAATATATGGAGAACATGTTATAGCTGCTGATCTAGTGATCTTTTGGTACACAGTATGTAGAAAATTTTTCAGTTAAATAAGCAGATAGATTTCAGTAGCTCTCCTTATCCACAGTTTTCAGAGGCTTCCTTTGTTTCAGTTATCTTTGGTCAACCATGATCTGAAAATATAAATGGAAAATTCCAGAAAGTTTAAAATCATATGTCATTCTGTGTAGTGGGATGAAGTCTCCTGCTATCCTGCTCTGTCCTGCCTGGGATTTGAATTATCCCTTGTCCAGCATGTCCACTAGCAGCCATGCTGGTTATGAGATGGTCTTGTTCTTGTCATAGCATCACAGAGCTTGCTTTCAAGCAACCTTATCGTACTTGAAAATGGCCCCAAAATGCAAGAGGCAGTTTTATTACAGTATGCTGGCAATTTTATTACAGTATGCTGTTATAATTGTTCTGCTTTATTATTAGTGATTGTTGAAAATCTTTTATTGTGCCTAATTTGCATAGCAAACTTCTGCATGGGCTTGTATACAAAGGAAAAAACAGTATATGAGGAGTTTGGTATTATCCTGTTTCAGGCATCCCCTGGAAATCTTCCATGAATAATAAGGTACTGCTGAATAATTTTTAAAAAATTAAGTGACTCTGAATATTTATCAAAATCTCCACTGCTTTCCTGTTTTCTTTTTTGTGTGGTTTTTTTTTTTTTTCTTTATTGGTTAGGTCCACACAGAAGAGCATTCTGAATGATTGTGGCAAATATTTTTGTTTCCAAAATTATAGTATTTATGATTTTGCTAGAACTTAACTAACTGAAACTGCAGTAGTTATCAATTAATTTTTTTTGTAGGGGTTACCAGAGATTGAACTCAGGGGCACTCAACTACTGAGCCACATCCCCAGCCCTATTTTATATTTTATTTTGAGACCAGGTCTCACTGAGTTGCTTTGCACCTCTCTTTGGCTGAGGCTGACTTTGAACTCGTGATCCTCCTGTCTCACCCTCAATTATTATTTTTTTCTTTATTGATGAGAATAGATGATTGCATCATGCCCCCATCTCACCCTCCTTGCCTCGACATGCAGACCTGTGACTACTGGCTGGTTGTACGAGGTGGGTTTTATTCCAGCACCCACTTAGATAAGGACCTTGATGATCTTGAGGGTATTAGATGACATCCATTTATGTTTTTAAACGTCCTACTAAAGCATAACTTTCAAATGCTTTTAGCATTTATTTACTTAATTAAAAATTTGGG